GAACGGCCCAGTGGCACGGGGTGCCTTGTGGAAACCTCACAGCAGGACAAGGCGAAGGCAGAGAAGGCCAGGACTGAGCCTCTTGTCTCCTGGAGCCCAGGGTTGGGGCTATTTCAATATCATCTCGAGGTCACAAGCATCAGATGCCCCCAGAGATGAGAGCAGGAAAGAACACCCTCTGCTGCCCTGAAATCTTTCACCCCTGAGTTTAAGGGCATCCAGCATGAAACACTGTAGAAACACAAGCAAGTAAATAAGCAAATGCTTCTAGAAGTGGTTGGCAGTGGTGTTGCCAACCAACATTGAAAACCCACAACACTGTGGTCAAGGATGTGAATGTTGGGACCTGCCACCTCCCTCTTTTCAGAGCAGAAGACGGAGCTCATTTTCTGCCACAGCTCATTTTCTGGTCGGTTGAAGCACAACCCGACCAGCACCCCAGGCTCATCAGGTGCTTGGAGGGAACTGGGCTGGAGGCTGTTCTCCAGGCAGGCCTGTGGGAGAACCTGAGAGGGATGTCATCAATGATACCAGCTCTGAGAAACATGGGATCCCTGGGAGGGTGGAGATATTACTTACCCCAGCTCTTTCCAGCACCACCAAAGAGGAGGAGCCAGGTGGGAATGGAGGAGGGTCCCTGAGCTCCACGTAGCTTTCTGCATCCCCCACCATCCTTCCCCCAATGTCAACTGGGACATGAAGCCCCCATGACAGGGCCTTTTAGCCAGTGCTGGGGACGTAGATGTGGACCGTGAGTTCTGCAGGTGGTGCTGGTTCCCACCCGTCTCCATTGCATCTTCCTAAGGGAAGCGAGTATCAGCTGGGATTTATCCCTTCCCATCCAGTCCTCATTGCTTACGTTGTTATCTATCTGGCACCTGCTGCCACTGCATTTGGAAACCCAAATAAAATGTCTCTTCCAGTTCCCTTACCCTAATTCAGATCCCAAATGTCCTGGTTCTGTATGTCTCAAACTCCTTTTTACATCGTTCTCATTTCCCAAGTGTAGTTGCGCTTAAGGAATATTCATCTTAAAATTCTTCTGCACACTAGTAATTCTATGACATTGTTTTCTCACTCTTTGGGGAATTTTTGCTTCTGCAATTAATAGCTGATCTTGTTTTCATTTATTCCCACTCCTAGGGTGCTAGTTTTGGTGTTGCTGGTGATGGTTGGGGAAGAAGAAATGCCTTCAAAACATCACCGGGATGACCAGTGGGCCGTGACCAGCAAGCTGGGAGCACTAATCTGGTGGAGTGGCCTCAGTTAGTAATAGAGAGCAGTGCTGTGCCGGCTTCCTTCTGGCCCAGGGAGATCAAGTTCATTATGTTTCAGAAGCCTGGCTCCCAATACACCCCACAGGCCATGTAGGTTGTTTTCCCAACCTGCCCCTTACTCCATACCCCCCACGCCATATATTAGAGAAAGACACCTAGTCAGACAAAATGATGCAACTTAGTTTTATTAGGACAGGGCTGACGGACACTGGAGTGCCACCTTCCAGGGCCAACAGAGGCACTGGGGAGGGGTCACAGGGATGCCACCCGGCAGCTAGAGGCCACAGCTGCCCTCCACAGAGCGACACTGCACAATGCGCAGGAATGTCTCAACCTTGTCCATGTCCTTCCGGAAGCAGTAGAGCAACCCGTAGTTCTTGAGCAGTGCATCATCGTTCTGCGAGTTTATGTCAAACTTGCTGTAGGTCTGCCTGAAGATCTCCCCAGTCCGGGGGCTGCCATCTTCCAGCCTCTGCAAAGTGAAGGAAGAGAAGGAGAGGCCAAGCGCTTGGACACTCTTCCCTCCCTCTCTCACTCATTCTTTCTCCTCCCTCCCCTCCAAGGTATAGAGAAAGGGCTGGAGGATTCACGAGTGGAAATGAAGAATAAGCTGAGTTCTCCTGGGTCAGGGCCTGACTGCTAAAAAGAGAGCAGCAGTGTTTCTTTCCCCCAGCTCTGGAAGCCAGTGGGGCCCCAGGATTGGGGACCCGTGGTGCCACCCTCACCCCCATCAGAGTTTGGATGCCTTCCTCTAGGTCCTTCAGGTACTCATAGACATCGCTGTCTGAGATGCCATACAATAGGCTGTTGGCGAAGACACTCCTGAGGAGCTGCACAGGCTCGAACCAGGACTGGATGAGCAGCAGGGAGATGCGGAGCAACTCTATGTTCTGCAGGGGAAGGACCGGCAGTGGGTGAGCTGCCCGAGGGCTCTGACCACAGGCCTCCCCATCCCTGCCTGTGGAGAGGGTGACCACTCATGGATTTCTGCTGAGTTTCCTTTTTGCTGGCCGGTGTCGGGATAGACTCTGAGAAGCAGAGGGAGGTCTGGGGGTTCTGCAGGAAGGAATACTTCTGTTCCTTCGGGATATAGGCTTCTTCCTAGGAGAAGGACCGCCCACCAAGGTCCATGCTGGTGACCAGCTCCCACTCTTACTTTTCTGGGACCTCTCTCGGCCTATGCTCATCTGCCTGCATCTTCACTTCTGAAACAACCCTGAGCTCCTTCGTTTCCTCCCACTACTTCCCAGCAGGGGAAAGGCACTCCTTCCCGCTACCCCTGACTGGCACCCATTCCCCAAGAGCTTACGAACTCCTGGTAGGTGTCAAAGGCCAGCTGGTGCAGGCGATGGGCGCGGAGCATAGCATTGTCCAAAAGCCTGGATAAGGGAATTGTTGGGAAGGCACCGGTCTCTTGAAGCTGGGGCAGGCAGAGCAGGGTGAAAGCCAGGAGCATGGATGTCCGGGAGCCTGGGAAGAAATCGGAGGGAAACGGAGGGAGCCGGAGAGCAAGAGGCCAAGGCTATTGCTCAGGGGCTGGATTTTTAAAAAATTATTATCTCTCTGGTACCAGGAACATTCTGAGATTGGCTTAGATGGCGACACCGACATTCAGGAGCCTGAAACCTGAGGGTTAGTCCCCTCGGTCCCATCTACAGGGCGCTGCCTCTCCCTCAGGACATATAATACCAAAAGGGATTTTAGGGGTGCATACCTGCAGCCATTGCAGCTAGGTGAGCTGTCCACAGGACTCTCCGTGGTTTGCGGAGTTGGGCCTTGGGATCCTGGAGCTGGTCTCTTGTGGGCCCTTTTATATCCTGTCCCCTTCTCTCTCCCTACTTGCCCCTGTTTCTTTGTACATTTATGCATGGGATTCTGGACGTGCCTGTGCTAATGGATAATTCAGAAGCTTCTCCCACACACTGTGGTACCATATCCCTGGCTTGTCATCTTTCCCTTCCCACCGTCACCAGCGCTGTGGACAGAGTGTCGGCCAGAGGAACCACCCAACCTGGCCTCTCTTTAAGGGGCAGGTGGGTGTCCTCTGGCAGCATGCCATGGTGGCCTACCTGAAGGCGGGAAAGGATGTCAGGATAGCCAGTCCTTGAGACCCACACGGACCCCATCCCACTCTCTATCCTATCCCTTTCTGCCTCCCCGCGTGGTTCCCCTCCACCCACCAGAGAGAGTGTGTGCTGGGAAAAGGGGCCCACCACAGCCAACAGATTCTGGGGGTTCTGGGCAAGATTCAGTCCTGAATTCCACTTTGGCTGAGTCCTCCTGGGCCCGCCTCAGGCAGCTGGATGCAGTGCTAACACCCACCAGTAGAGGGAACCAACCCCATACTTTCCCTCCCATTTTTCTGAGCCTTGGGGGTCCCAGGTCTGTGGGGACAAAGAACCCAGACTCAAGGTATTGCCCGAGCTCCTTGGACCTGCAGCAGAGATACAAGCCAAGAAACAGAATTCCTGGGAACAGACACGGACCACAAGCTCTTCTTCCCATAGCCCTGAAACCGTCAGAGAATCTCAAAGTTGGAAGAGCTCCTGAAGGTTTGAGTCTCCTCCCCAGCTTTGGAACTCAGAACACATCACGCCGAAGGATGCCCTATGCAGCCGTGGAAGCCCATCCTCCTTTTTCTCCTCCTCCTTTCCAGATCTGTGTAGAGCTTATCCAGTTGCAAAGGGCCTGCCTGTGCATTCTCACATCTGACCTGCCACTTGTCTTATGAAGGAGCTATTATGATCATCCCATTTCACAGATCAAGAGACCGAGGCTCAGAGAGACTGACTTGCTTGAGCTACCTCAGCCAGGGCAGCAGAACTCCACAAGCTTGCTCTTCCCACATTGTGTCCTTCAAAGTCCTTTCTCCAAGCCAGGCATGGTGGCTAACACCTGTAATCCCAGCATTTTGGGAGGCTGAGGTGGGTGGATCACTCGAGGTCAGGAGTCGAGACCAGCCTGGGCAATAAAGTGAGCTCTGTATCTCTACAAAAAAAAAAAAAAAAAAAAAAAAAAAAAAAGGAAAAGAAAAAGAAACGGAGTCCTTTCTCCAGAACAGGCAGTGTGGTGCTACTCAGTTTGGTTAGTTGAGCTGCTTCTGCTTCCTCCTCCTCCTCCTCTTCCTCTTCTTTCTTCTTCTTCTGAGATGGAGTCTCATTCTGTCACCGAGGTTGGAGTGCACTGGCATGATCTTGGCTCATTGCAACCTCTGCCTCCTGGGTTCAGGTGATTCTCCCGCCTTAGCCTCCTGAGTAGCTGGGATTACAGGCACCTACCACTATGCCGGGCTAATTTTTGTACTTTTTTAGTAGAGACGGGGTTTCACCATGTTGGCCAGCCTGCTCTCAAATGCCCCCTGACTTCAAGTGATCTGCCCGCCTTGGCCTCCCAAAGTACTGAGATTACAGGCGTGATCCACCACTCCCAGCTCAGCTATTTCAGCTTCTAAATTTCTCTGAGTCCAGGGATCCTGCCCCCAACACAAGCAGCCCTTTGCCTCATTTTGTCCTTCCATAAGGGGCAGATGTTCTCCCTCAATTCCCAGATGAGAACGGCCCAGTGGCACGGGGTGCCTTGTGGAAACCTCACAGCAGGACAAGGCGAAGGCAGAGAAGGCCAGGACTGAGCCTCCTGTCTCCTGGTGCCCAGGGTTGGGGCTATTTCAATATCATCTGAAGGTCATAAGCATCGGATGCCCCCAGAGATGATAGCAGGAAAGAACACACTCTCATGCCCTGAAATCTTCCACCCCTGAGTTTAAGGGCATGCAGCACGCGACACTGTAGAAACACAAGCAAGCAAACAAGCAAATGCTTCCAGAAGTGATTGGCAGTGGTGTTGCCAACCAACATTGAAAACCCACACCCCTGTGGTCTAGGATGTGAATGCTGTGAATGTCAACTCTCCCCATTCCTAAGTCCCTGCCAACTCCCCCTTTTCAGAGCAGAAGACGGAGCTCATTTTCTGCCATCATTCCTGAAGCTTAACCCGACCAGCACCCCAGACTCATCATCTGCCGGGAGGGCACTGGGCTCTGGGCTGTTCTCCAGGCAGGCCTGTGGGAGGACCCGAGAGGGATGTCATCAATGATACCAGCTCTGAGAAACATGGGGTCACCAGGGCGGTGGAGACACCACTTACCCCTGCTCCTTCCAGCACCACCAAAGAGGAGGAGCCAGGTGGGAATCGAGGAGGGTCCCTGAGCTCCACATAGCTTTCTGTGTCCCCCACCATCCTTCCTCCAATGTCAACCGGGAGGTGGAGCCCCCGTGACAGGGCCTTTTAGCCAGTGCTGGGAACTTAGATGTGGACTTTATATCATGGAAGAAGTCGCCTTTGGAATGAGGGTGGCAGGGGCTGAGCTGGGAACCGCTTCATAACTCCACAGGTGGACACAGGCGTGGCGAGGCTCCCCAGTCAAGTTACTGCCAGGAACATGTGGGACAAGCCAAGGGAGGGGAGTGTCTCCTCTCAACTTTCCATTTCTGTAGCCCCCAGAATTATGGTCACTCAGAGGACTCTAGAGACTCCTGGGGAAACACCTTTACAAAGGGTTACCATTGCAATCACTGGACCAGAGGAATGAACTGAGGCCCACATGTGTGGGTAGAAGTCAGTGACTTTTTTCTGTAGTCTAGAATCTTCCCAGGGCCTTGAGCAATGGAGACCACATCCATAATTCATTGCTAGTAAAAAGTAATCTTTGAATTAGAGTTGGGATTTTCCTAACAGTTCTGGGAAGTCATCCACTGTTGGGGCATCACTTGGGGTCATATCCCTGGCTCCTGAAGGCTGAGAGACTACCCAGCAAGGACCCCACATGGCCAGTGGGGCGAGGTTGGGCTTCACGCCTCTGACCTCAGTCTCAAAAGGCTCAGGATACATCTCACAATCATCTTGTTTTGTTTTGGTTTTTTTTTAAAGACCCTCTGTTTATAATTTTGGATTCATGAATTCCCTGTGTGTTTGGAAGCCCTTCCTATGTCTAACCTCAACTCACTCTAGGGTTCTCTGTGCCTGCTGCGGAAAGTCACAGGTCTGCTATTGATCCTGAAGTGGTGTCTTTCAGGCTTTGAGATCTCCTCTTAGGTTCAAGACTGTGGGGTTGAGGATGATCACATTTTTCGAAGCCATACTCATCCAGTCTTAGGGACAGCCTTCGAGGGACTGGTGGGTGCTACTTCCACTCCCACTTTGGGTGACTTGAGGCCCACCCTTCCCACCTGCAGCTCTGTTCTTTCTTCGTTCAGATCAGAGGCTGGTTATCGCATCCGGGGCATACTCTACCTCCTTTTGGCTTCCAACGTCCTTTCTGTGAGTCTTGGTACTCAGTCAATTACTCTGCTCATTGGATTAAGGTCTTCAGAGAATATTATGTGGGGATTCCCAAGGGCTTTCCTAGGGGAGGTGAGGAAGATGATCAATACTTCTGTGTGTCCACCTTGTGCTTGGCACTCTACTGAGCCTTTGGGATGTGAGTCCCACTTCATAGCTGAGGACACTGAGGCTCAAAGAGATAAGGTGGCTTGCCCGGAGTTCTCCCAGTTCCTAAGTGACCACGTCTTTCCTTCCATGCCAAGATCTTTAGAAACCTCATATAGTAAAGATGGTAGCACGTCTAGACATAGACAGAACTTGCCTCAGTACAAAGCTAGCAGGACAGGGGTCAAGCCCCTGCACAGAGGATGTTCCAAAAAGATGGGGGGAATTGAACACAAGGAACGTCAGTTGCAGACTGAGGTGTCCGAAGGCATTGGGAAAAGTGGTAGAAAACAACGACCCAGCGTAGCTTGGTTTAGTGAACTGAGGCACATCATGCTGCAGATGCTGCAAATTTGTATTGCACATTTCAGTGTACATCGTGTTTCACTTCCTGTATCTCATTGAACCCTTAAATTTGCCACATGATATGGCCAGGGGGTTCAGGCATGGAGGAAGGGCCTTGGAAGGCTTGTGGGAGGAGAGGGGCAGGCACAGTTCTGTTTTGATGGGGGTATTGTCTGCACTGGTTGACGATCTCTGAACAACCAAGAAGTATATAACCATCTACCTAACTGGACATGCTAAGTAATTTCACTTTGGGGATTATTCTCCAGGGAAACAGTCCATTGACAGAGAAGTGAAAAGCATCAAGGTATGTCTAGTAGTTGTAGGAAGTCTGGGGTGCTTTCCTGATGGGGTGCCCTCAGCTGGATATAGCCTCTCCTTCCTTTGACCTGTCCTGTAGATGTTTTATTCCTCCTACCAGACTGTAAGCTCTTTGAGGCTGGATTTCTGCCTTGCATCTTTTCATTCATTCATTCATTCATTCATTCTTCTATATGTGTATTCACTGATTCAACAAGTAATTGTTGCCTATAACATGTGCCAGACATTGTACCAGGCAGATGGGCATACACAGATAAACAAAATATATGATCCTTTCTCTTCTGGAGCTAACAATCTACTGGGGACAGATAAGAGCAAACAAATAAATATATAATGGTAAAATAGAAATTTCTAATTAGAAACATTGCCATGAAGAAAATAGCTAAAATATATAGGGAGAGAATAAGCCAGGAGGTGAAGGGATGAGGCAGCTGGCACAGCCCCAGGCCCAGAAGTTCAACAAGCATCTACTAAGTGGACCCAGCGCATGAGAGGACAGTGCCAAGCAAAGAACTCAAATGTCCAACTGGCTGGGCATGGCCAGGTAGCCCATGCTGTGTCTGGACATCCTCCTACTGGTATAATTATTTTAAAATAACAAGGACAGAGCAGGGGGCGGTGGCTCACGTCTGTAATCCCAGCACTTTGGGAGGCCCAGGTGGGCAGATCATCTTAGGTCAGGAGCTCAAGAGCAGCCTGGCCAACATGGTGAAACCCTGTCTCTTCTAAAAATACAAAAATTCGCCAGGCATGGTGGTGTGTGCCTGGAATCCCAGCTACTTGGGAGGCTGAGGCAGGAGAATCTCTTGAACCCAGGAAGTGGAGGTTGCAGTGAGCCAATGCCATTGCACTCCAGCCTGGGTAACAAAAGCAAAACTCCATCTCAAAAAATAAGTAAGTAAATAAATAAATAAATACAACAAAAATATAAATAAAATAATGACAGGAACTTGAATGTATGGCAATAT